GTATATTTTAACTACATTTATTGATATCCTAATAATTAAAATGAGTAGGTATAACATAATTTAATTGCATGCTAATTACCCTAATATGAGCCACAGATATGACTAGATAAATGGGACTATTCCCACTTCTCGTTCCCACCGCTGCAACTCCTGTGTAGCCAGGATCTACAGCTTGACTGCCATAAAAACCCTTGTTAAAAGATATGACTAGATTATGAACTCTTAACGTTTAACCTTAGGATGGACCTAGACACAGTTTTCAGTCGGCCGTTTGGTGTAGTGGTTCAGAACGGACTACTATGCCGAGAGGTCCCGGGTTCGATTCCCGGCCGGACAGAAATTGAAATGATGATTTTTAATTTCTGTGACGGGTCTGGGTGTTACTATGTATAATATGTATGTATTTAATAAAAAAAAGTATATAAGTATATCCGTTAAGCTAGCACCCATAACACAAGCATTGAGTTGCTTACTTTGGGGCTAGCTGGCGATATGTGAAATTGTCCAAAGATTTGTCCAAAGTTTTAACCAACTTCAAACTTTGCTACCAACTTTGTGATAATCTAAAGAAGCTCCTTTATTGTTTGAATAATTAAGTGTTTTGTATGTGATTTAAAACACGTTTAGCACACACGTGTGGCGCAAATAATAAATTAGTGACGCTCCTTTATAACCTACGGGTCGAGAATCGTCGAGAAAAAACGGTGAATCCTGTATCTGCATTACCATGAGACAATGTGGTATTTATAAATATGACGCAATAGAATTATTAAATATTTTAGAATAAGGTATAATTATTTGATATTTTATTGTTTAACACATTCAGAAAATATCAAATTTTTGAGAAGTCTTTACAAAATCGGAATATCTTGCTTGCTTCTGTAAAACGGTTATTTTGATCAAATCTGTGGTTATTTATTTATTCCATAAGGATTAAGATTAAAAATACCTATTAATACTGACGTAAGCTTCTTTATAGGTAATCATTGTTTTTATTTTCATTCAAATTAAAGTTTAAAAATAGAAAGTAAATCTGTATAATATTGTACATAGCATTGTCAAATTACCCATTGTTTTTGAAATGCAAATATTATTAATTTAATTAGTTCACGTAATATCTAAAATTAAATATTCAAAACAGACTTATAAAAATAAATCAAAATAATAAGAAATCAGCTTGTTTAAATCTAAGATTGCATAATAGGCACCAAGATTACCGTTCAATATGATTACTAGTTAACACAATACCTAGCCTTTCAGGGTCAAAATCATANAGATCCGGAGAATGACCGATTATAACATAACACGTACGTGTTAAGTGTAAATAATACAGTTCGTTCGTTTCAGCCGAAAGACGTCTACTGCTGGACAAATAATACAGTACTTATTAATATTCTGTGATAAAACCTAATTCTAACTTAAAGTTTCATAATCAAACAATAAAGAATTAGTTTTTTACAGCTGTATTTTAAAAAGGTATAAGAGCAATTTTGCAATATATTTAAAGCGTTAAGACCATGTATTGTAATTGCAATGTTTTAAATTTTTTATTGGATAAATTAATTTGCAATGGACAAAACAACTTTTTTCACTGAAAAATTGCCTAAATAATACATTTAATTACATGTTTGTTAAAGACAAATTTAGTTTAACACGGATATCATTAATCGTGTTAAAGGTCAACTCGTGGTTTTTCTCAAAATAATTGACCAATGATACCTACTTATTGTGATTTATGATTCGGGGCTTCTTTGCGTAGTTTTTAACGAATAGAATTTCCTTATAAGGATCCTCATAATGACTCACTATCTTACTGGTTTACATAAAAACCATAAGCCTTTATACTATTAGAAAAATATATTTAAATGCGTAGTAAAATTGTCAGCAAAGTTGAAGATGAGAGAAATAAATAGCTTTTCAAATATTTGAACTTATCCTTGCTTTTTATAAGTACATTTCCAGCTGTTTTTGTAATTGAAAAAATATTTTAAATTCTTTGTTGGTGTATCCTCGTGATTATTAGCATACAATGAGGAAGTTAAGAAACCGATTATCCCGTAGAAGGAGAAACTATTAAACCACCATTTAACATTAACACTGTATTTGACAAGAAAGTTATGTTCTTTAAAATAAGGCCCGACGCCGATGATCTTGATATTAAGATCGTCTTTAGATTCTTTAAGTCTTTAACTTAATTTAAGCTAAAACAATATTTACCCCAAAATTCTTCAGTAGGTAAAAGGCAGCAATTATAAATCAATACAAAAGCAAATCAGGTATCCAGTAACATAGGTACTTAGTTAAAGGATAAGAAATTGTCCCAATTAAGAAAATTATTTTGTTTTCATACACTTATCAGAAAATATAGCAGGAGTCATCCTTTGAAAACTCAAAGCTTTACTAAGTCATCAGTCATCGCCTGGCTTTATCTTATAGAAACACAACTCACCTCACAAGGCGTCTGCTCGTTAACTTTAACAAGCGTTTTATTTTAAAAGCATCCCCATTACACCAAAACACGAGTAAAGAGAAGAAAGCCGGTTTTGCTATGGAAAGCCCTTGGTAAATGGTATTGTTCAAGGTTTTCGGCCATAATATCAAAAAGTATGCACCTGCGATAGGCTTTATCAAGGTTTTTAAACGTAAGAAACGACAGAGTATTTTTGGGCCTGACGCGTTGATGTCTAATCCTTAGGGCCTCGTGACCCACATTTCATCTATTAGAAATTAAAATCTCTTAGCGATTAGAGTCGCTTCTCAAACTAAATTTTATATAAGCAACTTGAAAAAGTTTTTTTCAAGTTGCTTATTAGAAAATTATACTATTTTAAAGTCTATTTGGATATTTTTGCGGATTTTAGCGCTGTAAAAGATTAAACTAAGATGAATGCCTCAATCCCAACTTAATATTATAAATGCGAAAGTAACTCTGTCTGTCTGTCTGTCTGTCTGTCTGTCTGTCTGTCTGTCTGTCTGTTACGCTTTCCCGCTTAAACCTCGCAACCGATTTTGATGAAATTTGGCATAGAGATAGTTTGAGTCCCGGGAAAGAACATAGGATAGTTTTTATCCCGGTTTTTGAAACAGGGACGCGCGCGATAAAGTTTTTCTGTGACAGACAAAATTCCACGCGGGCGAAGCCGAGGGCGGAAAGCTAGTTTTGTTATAAATCCATAATATGAAATTAATTAATTAAGAAATCTTTTTAATTACTCAAAAACTTATTCTCATTTTATTCTATTAATAAATCAATATCCGTATAGATTAGCTACTAATGATGTCTTAAGTTCATAAGTAGTTAATAATAGAGTTGTAAGTCCATCATAAGATCAACGTAGATTAAGAAAATTAACATATTTAATGTGTTCTCGATCAACTAAGAGTATGTTGATCTCAAAAATAAATAAATAATTAAATAATAATAATAATAATTGTGTGCTATATGGCTTATGTAAGCTGAGCAATATAGAACCATAGGTTTATTCTTTCTGTAATGTATTCTTTTTGTTGAAAATACCATAACTTCTTTCAATATGATTGACCAAGATGTCTAATTTTGACACAAATCAGTCAACTTCATCCAAAAATGTTACAGAAGTTCACAAAATTACAGTGAAAGTTTAATTTCATAGTTTTACAGTTTTCAAGCCACAACAAAATTATTGGTATGTTGTTCCTTGTTATGTCAATTTTTTTATTATAATACTTCAGTCGTAGGCTTTATCGGTCTAAGTCCATAAGCATAGAAACATCTATAAACGACTGTGGTATGGTGTGGTTACTTATATTGGATTTCTTCCTGTTGTTATTTTAAAAAATGTATATTTTAACAACATTTATTGATATCCTAATAATTAAAATGAGTATAACATAATTTCATTGCATGCTAATCACCCTAATATGAGCCACAGATATGACTGATTAACGGGACTATTACCTCTCGTTCCCACCGTTTTACTATATATACCTCTCGTTCCCACCGCTGCAACTCCTGTGTAGCCAGGATCTACAGCTTGACCACCATAAAAACCCTTGTAAAAAGATATGACTAGATTACGAACTTTTAACTTTAGGATGGATCTACGCACAGTTTTAATCAGCTTTAAACTTAGCCACCAATTTTGTGATAATCTAAAGAAGCTCCTTTATTGTTTGAATAATTAAGTATTTTGTATGTGGTTTAAAACACGTTTAGCACACACGTGTGGCGCAAATAATAAATTAGTGACGCTCCTTTATAACCTACGGGTCGAGAATCGTCGAGAAAAAACGGTGAATCCTGTATCTGCATTACCATGAGACAATGTGGTATTTATAAAAATGACGCAATAGACTTATAAAAATAATATTTTAGAATTTGGTATAATGATTTGATATTTTATTTTTTAAGACTCAATTTATCTAGAAATTTATCTGCTTAAAATGTTTTAACAAAATTTTAAATTTTAAATCCGTTGACTGGTTATTTTGATAAAATCAATGTAGTTATTTATTTATTCCAAAAGAATTAAGATTTTAAATTCCCTTTTAATATTGACGTAAGCTTCATTTAAAGTTCTATAAAAAAAAGTCGAGCTGAATGAAATCAATGGTTCCAATTAAATTTAAAGTTAAAAATAAAAAATAAATCTGTATAATATTGTAGATGGTATTGTAAAACAACACCCATTATATATTATTAATTTCATTAGTTTACGTAATATCTAAAATTAAATATTCAAAACAGACTTATAAAAATAAATCAAAATAATAAGAAATCAGCTTGTTTAAATCTAAGATTGCATAATAGGCACCAAGATTACCGTTCAATATGATTACTAGCTAACACAATACCTAGTCTTTCAGGGTCAAAATCATACTACGATTTTATGAATTAAAAACAAAGTTCAATATTATAATGATTTAACGTTAAAACTCAAAATTTTATAATATTCCACTTTCTTAAACGCATTTTACAGGATATCCCTAAAGTAATAATAGGAAAAACGTTTTTCACTTACCGCAGCGGCTAAAACTGTCACAAATCGCAGCATCTCGTACAATATTCACTTATCTCTCACGTAACTCGAGAAACAAACGATGGATGAGCGTGCGCATCTGCTATATACCGCGCAGCCTCCGATGACGTCACGGCCGCTACTTCCCAAACCAGTTAAGAACGTCTTCATAATTTCCTCCAAAGTTCACAACACATCGAACATTCTCGACGTCACCTTCACATGTTAATAGTTCAAAACCAGTAATGGTTGTTTAGGAATGCGTTTGTTCTGCGCGATGAGCTCACGGCTTGCGTAGTCGCAGCTACGTCAGTACCAAAATGTCTGAGTGTCGTCTGCCGCTGCTTTTTTACAGGATTTTCGATGGTGCTTACGATTTCATGGTTTGGTACACCAAGGAGAACTATTATAATAAATCAGCATTATAAAGTTATCAAAGGAACCGCGAGAGCAACAAACAAAAAATANTAAAAAATATATTATGAAAAATTTATGCAAAACACCATACATTAAGTATACATTAGGTATACAGTTGAATAATAAAGAATTTATTCATGTAACTTACAATAGAAAAGACTAGAAAAATTACTGGCTATATTGAAAAACCTGTTTTAAAAATGCATTTACTTATGTGGTATAATAACAAATTAGTATGTATTTAATAAATAAATTATCTCCATAGCTCAATGATTAAAGCAGTCGCCGTGCAAGTGAAAGGTTGAGAGTAAGAACTCTCCTAGGTTGAGAGTTAGAGCCTAGAGACTCGCCTGATGCAAATGCTTTCATTCATAAATCATAATTATTTTGATTAACAAAATATTTGAAGAACGGTCATCTGTGACCCAGGCCCGACAGAAACGAGACATATCTCAGTTTTTTTGTCATGTCTTAATTAGTTAAATTATATATTTTTTATATTCGAAATCTATGTATAACACCAAAATATTACCCTTTGTTTTCGTTCAGGCGTTATACAAAAACTAGTACAAAATGCCTATTTATCACCAAAATTGGTAAATGTATGTACCTAAATGTCTATTACAGCTGCTATGGAATGTATCTAGGTGACCTGGAGATACACGAGCAGTTTTTGTTTCTATAAGGAACATACAGACAGACAGACAGACAGACAGACAAAAATTTTACTGATTGCATTTTTGGCATCAGTATCGATCACTAATCACCCCCTGATAGTTATTTTGAAAATATATTTCATGTACAGAATTGACCTCTCTACAGATTTATTATAAGTATAGATATAGATATAGATGTAAGCTGAGGAATATAGAACCATAGGTTTATTCTTTCTGTAATGTATTCTCTTTGCTGAGAACACCATAACTTCTTTCAATATGATTGACCAAGATGTCTAATTTTGACACAAATCAGTCAACTTCATCCAAAAATGTTACAGAAGTTTACAAAATTACAGTGAAAGTTTAATTCATAGTTTTACAGTTTTTAAGGCACAACAAAATTATTGGTATGTTGTTCCTTGTTATATCCATTGAAGTAATATTACTACGTAGTACATTATAATTTAATGGTTATATCTCATTTTTTATCATCATAGTTCAGTCTTAGGCTTTATCGGTCTAAGTCCATAATAAGTATATAGTTCCAAAATACTGAACTGTCCTATCCATGACATTGACAGCGGGGCGCCACCGTCAATACCGGATCGCTGGTTCCGATTTTTGCCATGTTGGAAACCATATAGTTGAACGATGGTAGCGCCCCCCTGTCATTGAGTTTGGTGGGACAGTTCAGCGTGGGTCATCTATAGAAACATCTATAAACGACTGTGAATGAATGAATGGTAGGTATGTTGTGGTTACTTAAATTGCCTTTCTTCCTTTTGTTATTTTAGAAAAGGTATATTTTAACTACATTTATTGATATCCTAATAATTAAAATGAATGTAACATAATTTCATTGCATGCTAATTACCCTAATATGCGCCACAGATATGACTAGATTAACGGGACTATTCCCACCTCTCGTTCCCACCGCTGCAACTCCTGTGTAGCCAGGATCTACAGCTTGAAAACCCTTGTTAAAAGATATGACTGGATCATGAACTTTTAACTTTAGGATGGATCTACATACGGTCAGTTTCAATCAGCTTTAAACTTTGCGACCAACTTTGTGATAATCTAAAGAAGCTCCTCTATTGTTTGAATAATTAAGTGTTTTGTATGTGATTTAAAACACGTTTAGCACACACGTGTGGCGCAAATAATAAATTAGTGACGCTCCTTTATAACCTACGGGTCGAGAATCGTCGAGAAAAAACGGTGAATCCTGTATCTGCATTATCATATGAGACAATGTGGTATTTATAAAAATGACGCAATAAACTTATAATACATATTTTCTAATTAGGTATAACAATGATTTGACATTTTATTTTTTAAGACTCAAGAAATCTATCTGTTTAAGGTGTTTTAACAAAATTGGAAAATCTTGCTTCTGTAAAACGCAATACAACATCTGTTGACTGGCTATTTTGATAAAATCTAAATGGTTATTTATTTATCCCAAAAGTATTAAGACTTTAAAAAAACGTTTTAATATTGACGTAAGCTTCATTTAAAGTTTTATAAAAAAAGTCGAGCTGAATGAAATCTATGGTTCCAATTTTTAAAGTTAAAAATAAAAAAATAAAATGTATAGTATTGTAGATGGTATTGTAAAACAACACCCATTATATATTATTAATTTCGTTAGTTTACGTAATATCTAAAATTAAATATTCAAAGCAGAGTTACAAAAATAAATCAAAATCAGAAATCAGCTTGTTTAATAAATCTAAGATTGCATATAGGCACCAAGATTACCGTTCAATATGATTACTAGTTAACACAATACCTAGTCTTTTCAGGGTCAAAATCGTACTACGATTTTATGAATGAAAAACAAAGTTCAATATTATAATGATTTAACGTTAAAACTCAAAATTTTATAATATTCTACTTTCCTAAGCGCATTTTACAGGATATCCCTAAAGTAATAATAGGAAAATCGTTTTTCACTTACCGCAGCGGCTAAAACTGTCACAAGTCGCAGCATCTCGTACAATATTCACTTATCTCTCACGTAACTCGAGAAACAAACGATGGATGAGCGTGCGCATCTGCTATATACCGCGCAGCCTCCGATGACGTCACGGCCGCTACTTCCCAAACCAGTTAAGAACGTCTTCATAATTTCCTCCAAAGTTCACAACACATCGAACATTCTCGACGTCACCTTCACATGTTAATAATTCAAAACCAGAAATGGTTGTTTAGGAATGCGTTTGTTCTGCGCGATGAGCTCACGGCTTGCGTAGTCGCAGCTACGTCAGTACCAAAATGTCTGAGTGTCGTCTGCCGCTGCTTTTTTACAGGATTTTCGATGGTGCTTACGATTTCATGGTTTGGTACACCAAGGAGAACTATTATAATAAATCAGCATTATAAAGTTATCAAAGGAACCGCGAGAACAACAAACAAAAAATACAATATGAAAAATTGATTCAAAACACCATACAATTAGATTAGGTATACCTACCCGTTGAATACATATTTTATTCATGTATATTACAATAGAAAAGACTAGAAACTGTCAATATTGAAAAACCAGTTTTAAAATGCATTTCCTTATGTGGTTTATTAACAAATTATATTTAAATAAATAAATTATCTCCCTAGCTCAATGGTTATAGCAGTCGCCGTGCAAGTGAAAGGTTGAGAGTTAGAACTCTCCTAGGTTGAGAGTTAGGCGGTTATCACACTGCGCCGCGCTCCGTCGCGGAGCGCGTGATTTTCATATAAAAAATCACGCGCGCGGACGCGTTGTCTGTGTGAAGTGCCGCGCGTGTTTTCTATACAAACTGAGGTACTTGCATACAATGAAAAAATCTGTCGCCCCGCGCTCCGCGGCGGAGCGCGGCGCAGTGTGATAACCGCCTTAGAGCCTAGAGACTCGCCTGATGCAAATGCTTTTCATTCATAAATCAGGTTTTGATTAACAAAATATTCTCAGTCCATAACTAAGTGAAGCTTATGCCTATATACATAGCAAATATAAAACGAATAAACTTAATAGCTTCGTAGTATAAACCCCACTCATCATCCAACTAGCACTTAATTTTGTCCCTAGTGTGGTTCGAATTAACTTTTTATAAACTTTAACATTAACAGCAAGTATGACAATGTAAGATTAAGAATTTTTAATTTATTAACGTAAGTTTATCGCAATCTAGTAGAGAATGTACTTAATCATTATCTCTACCTTTTTTGTCTGTCATGGCACTTTGAGCAACAAAAACATATGTGTTTATAGTAACAACCCACCGTTGCAGGAAAATAATAATTTACAAGAGTTCTTTGCCCTTTAGGGAACATAAAGATATGATTGCCATTAAAAATATATTATTGTATAACGACTGTACGATTTCATTTTTGTAATGGGATACTTTTGCCTACACTAAATTGGTAAGGTACAGCTTAGTACAACAAGCACAAAAAAACAAAAATCTACTCATAGTAAAACCGAACTCTAATATGCGAGTATGTCTGCACCTCCATTGGCATACATTAACATTAAACTGGTCAGAAAAAAGAAAATGTGTATTATAATATTGAAAACAGTGAAGGTCAAAAAATTTTGTCTAGAATTTTGTCCATAGCCTGCATGTCATCAAAAAAGCTTTGTATCTTACACAAAAACCTAGCGTTTCTTGTTGTCTGCGATTTGTGTACGTATATATGTCGCAGGCAAATTGTATGATTCCGCATTTTACAAACGGCGTCGTCAATTCACAAACACTCGCTGTTCTATGAAATGCCGAAGGCAAAATGTAAATCGCCTTGGCACTTTATAATATGCCAAAACATTTGATAGCCAATTCAATTGCTGTTTACAAAATGCCGCGGCAAATTGAAGTATTTAGTTCTTTTTCTTACCACGTGAGGCGCTGCTAATCAAAACAAGAAAAATGGCGTCGAGTAGTGGTGTTGTGATACAGAAAACAGTGCAAATTCTACGTATTCAAAGGACTTTTCACAAAAAAAGACATTTAATATACTTAGTGAATTAAAAA